ATATTCAAATATCGTTATTGAAAGTTGATCCGCGCTAATGATGTTACTTGTGGTGTTGATGAAAGTACATTACACGTTATTGATACAACTATTGGCACAAATGAATGTACATTTTCTCTTAATGAACAGCAAAAGGTGTAGTTAGTCTCCCTCGCATCCGTTTTTAGTGTCGGTCGTCACGCAACGCTCCCTCCCCACAAACGGCTGCTTGCATTCGAACTACATTCCTTTCTCATTGTTGGCCAATCACAAGACGGGTTACATATTTAGAGAACCGTTCGCGGACTTTTGATCTGACCAATCAACGTGCAGCTTTTATTTYGCATTCTCAACTCGTTCATAGAAGAAGTGTACATGCATATTTGGCCTCGTGTCTTCAAAGTCCGGTATTCCTGATCCAAATGCGCATCAGAAGTCGGCTATCAAAACTTTAGTCGAACTGAAAAAAGATATTTTTGACAATCTTCCAACAGGGTTTGGCAAATCTCTAATTTATCAAGCTCTGCCTCTCGTATTTGACTACAAATATACACTAGAGTCTGGTCACATCGTGGTTGTTGTGTCTCTTTTAATTGAGACCTACAGGTCGACAAGTACGAGAACGAGTCCGAGTTAAAACTTTTAAAGATTGGTACTATCTCTTTGTAGTGTTGATCGTGTATAAAATAGATTGAAACTTTAGATTGTAAAAAATCGGAAATCGACTACGATTTAGCGTTATCGTACTCGTACTCGTCGTCGTATCTAAAGGTCGCTAATACGTGTAATGGATGACCAAGTCTCAAAGTTACGTAGTTTAGGAGTTAGGAGTTAAGAACGGTGTGAGGTCGAAAACTGCGAATATTCCGCAACGATTTCTTTCGAGGGTGTTCTTCGGCAGCTCGATTGAAACTCACCATGTTTGTACATTCGAACACTGTGATTGGCTCAGTAGGAAACAATACGCTCGACCTCATTGGTACAATCCAAACAATGAGAAAGGAATGTAGTTCGAATGCAAGCAGCCGTTTGTGGGGAGGGAGCGTTGCGTGACGACCGACACTAAAAACGGATGCGTGTGAGACTAAGTTTTAGTCAGGTTTTGCAAAAAAGAGAGAAAAACCGTAGAAGCCGGATCAAGGAAGATATAATCAACTCCACCCATATTAAGGTATTTTAAGGAAAATAGGCTAGCAGGATACCGCTACACCGCCCTTCATTCCTTTTGCTCTTATTAAACTGACTTTGGTATATTCTTTTCAGAAATGTGTTGGACTCCTTGTAAAAATGGTGGAAAGTGCAATGGCAGCAACACGTGCCAGTGCCCCTTTCCTTTTTATGGCAACCAATGTGAACGTTTTTCTCTATACGATTTTATAAATGAAAAAGCTAAAAAATGGTCAGTAAACTCTATGAAAAGAAATTCATTACCAAGTGAAAATCTTCAACAAGTATCGCTTAAAGATTTGATGCGTCTTGGAGCTAAGATTCGATTKGCCAATGGTCGATCAGGTGTTTGATCTGCCAAGAATAGATAAATAAAAACGAAAACACCGTTGTCAGTATCAAGAAAATAATTTTTTTCCAGACATAAAAAATAATGACAATTACTGGCCATTATCTTAAACGGAGCTTATTACCGTTTTTTGAAAAAAGGACAAATTTCGAGCTTTGAGCTGAGTACGAGAAAACTCTTAGACTCTGTTATATTGTTATGTTACATAAATATAGATATGTATCCGCTACCTGATTAAAAGGGGTCGCTGAAGCAATTACTGGTATTGAGTAAGTACGTTTTTATCTACTTGCATCAACGCTTACGCTCCAATGCTCGAATCGGCTCCATGGGTAGAATCTGGATTGATCAATTAGACCTTTTCATGTTCGGTTTAATGTTTTACTATTTTAGATCGCATGTCATTTTCTTGATATTAAGATTATTTGTGTGCGTGTATGTGTGTGTGTTTGTGTGTGTGTGTGTGTGTGTGTGTGTGTGTGTGAGTTGTGTACAAAGCATATGATAAACTGTTTAAAAAAGAAATAATACTCTACTGTATGACAAGAGATCGAATATTAAGTATCCATTACTGTAGTTTTTTGAAAATCTATTTTTAGCTCCGCGCGCAAGACAGAGCTACTTTAGCATGTGATTCTTGATTGGTTAGWWGGGTACACAAGAGATCGGCAGTGCAGTGAGAAGAAAGCTTTAATGCAGTTGACAAACCAAAAGTTATTCAAATTTACGAGGAAATGTGTTAGAGAGATGTGCTCCCTTACTTCATATTCTCTTGTGTATGATTAGTGGTCTGAAATGGGAAAACATTACACCCAAGCTGAAGGCATATAGAATTCGTCTAAATTGAAAAAAAAAAAAAAAAAAAAA